TCTGCCCCTTTGAAGGCCGGAAATGGATTCTGAAGCGTGAGACAGCCCGGGCATCGCTGGAATTCCTAGAAGAATGCGACGAAGGAAAACGGAAGCGACGACGTGACATTTCGCGCTCCGTTTCAGATGAGCCTCTCCGAAAAATAAAAGAAACGAAGGGAAAAGAAAGTGCTCCTTTTTCACTTTTTAACAGACGAAAATATTCTTTCCGAGACGAACATTTTTATAAAACAGTGCAGTATTTAACGAAACAATTGCACAGTGAAGCGTTCTATTTTTCCAAGCGAAAGGAAATTTCTTTTTCAGAAAGGAAAAATGTACAAATTGTAACTGGAAAAACGTGTAAAAGAAGAAAAGGAAAATATAGAAATTGTAACTTGACAAATGTGTAAAAGAAGAAAGGAAAATTTTAGGAAAGAGAATTGTGCGTCAGAGAAACATTTGTAATGGCGCGAATTAAAGCAGTGAAGTATTTATCCAGAAGATGTTAATAAAGATCAAAGAAGGAAAATGAAAATGTGAACATTGTTCGTTGAAATTCAGGTTTATTGTTTAATAAAACGGATTGAATTGATGTCGATCGCACAGAGGATACCGTTAATACGAAAATGAAGTCGATATTATTCTCTAAAGTAATATTCATCGTTTAATAAAGAAAATTGAATCAATATCGACGACAGCGCGAGAAATGAGAATGGGAAGAAAACTAGAAATTTTCAGGTCAATGTTTAAAAGAACGATGTAATAATCAAAAAAAGGAGTTACAATTTGTAACTGAATGAGTTAGGGGGGTTCGGACTGACCGCAAATAAGTCCCACTAGGTTACACTCACAAAAAGGATGTATTTTACTTGTCCTTACACTAATATAGACTTACAGAAAGTTATGTTTAATTAGTCCTTATACTAACACGAGTTCATGAGTCGTGCGCGGAAGACTTGACCCGGTGTTCAGGGAACGAAATCAGGGAAATCTCGTGGTTCGGATATGTCCACTCAAGGGAGCAAGGTCGGTGCCAGGCAGGGTTCGCTGTCCTTTAGATGTCCACTCAAGGGAGCGTCTTCGGAGCAGCGAACCGCTTGTCCATAAAAATTATGGGTCACGCACCTTTTTATATTCTCGGGGGTGCTTTGGGCCAGCGCGAGTGGTGGAGTGGGGGAGTCATCGCGCAGGCGCACAAGAGTGGAACTGGAAGCAGGGGTGCAGCAAAGCAAGGTGACGAGGACGCTACTCTGGTGGCCGCTCGGTGCATTATCTCCCTTACGCATTGCGCTACAAAGGAGGATGTTAAAAAAAGGCCAATTTTGGCATAGGTCGGAACGAAAAATGTAATTGTCATTTTTCCCGGAAATGACGGGAAAGTTATAACAAATAACTGTTTATTCGAGTCGCAACTCTCAGAGAGTTGAGCGATGCTCTCAGACAGTCACTCTCAGACACAGTGTCCACTCGCGAGCAATTCGCGATAGTTTTACTCTCAAAAGGACAGTGTAACGGTTTGAATTTAAAACGGGCGCGTCTTTTTATCGTGATCGGCGTGCGTTCGCCGAGCCGCGATCGCGCATGCGTCCACCGAGCGGCGATCGCGCATGCGTCGAGCGAAAAAATGTATGGCGTATTGTATTGTGTTAAGACCAAGTGCGTGGCGTTTGTTCTCGGTTTTGCCAATAAAAGTAATATAAAATCAGAAAATTCTTTTCCCACTAACTCTTTTCCGTGCGCGAGCAGACAGCTAGCTTATGTTTGGCTTGATGTACGTACAGCGACCCAGGCTCGCGTTTCTTATGTTTGGCTTGATGTACGTACAGCGACCCAGGCTCGCGTTTCTTATGTTTGGCTGGCAAGAAATATCACGAATTCTAAGAAGTGAAGGCCTAGAATTTTTCCCAGAACAGTTGCGAGCGTACAGCGAGCAGAAATCGGGCAGGACGACTCGTCCTCAGTCGGTGTTTACGACGCTGTCGAACGAGTGCCTCGACGAACGACGAACGTTGCTTATACTGCGCGATTATAGTCTTGTAGGGAATACATCGAACAACGCGTTTTCGATTATACGCGAATTTCCAATCAATTTACGTATTTAGCATATTCGTTCGTGTGAATTAAGTGTTGCTGCATACAAGAAGCTAGTGCACCGAATTCAAGTACACAACGAACAGCTCAGCTTGGGAGAAAAATCAAACGAGAAGCGTGTCTTATTTCTCGATCAATCTTTTTTTCCTGACATTTTTTTACTCGCACGAGAGTATTCTCAAGAATACGAAACTGATTCGTGTTTGCAAAATTATTGTTCGACAGCAATATGATTACGTATCCATTCGAGAGCAGGTCCCAACACGTCTACTTTCAGACAGTGGAGCTATGCTCTCGGACAGTCAAGCTCAGGGGCAGTGTCCACTCTCGAGAGATACTCTAGAGAGCAACTCGCGATAGTTTTACTTTCAAAATGGCACGTAGCTTCGTGT